CGTTTAAGAAATAAATACGTCATTATTATTGTTTCTAACTGTTATAAGAGTTATAAGATTTTAATTTACGAAAAAGGTACCCCTGCTTGACATATATATATATATATATATATATATATATATATATATATATATATATATATATATATATATATATATATATATATATATATATATATATATATATATATATATATATATATATATATATATATATATATATATATATATATATATATATATATATATATATATATATATATATATATATATATACCCCTACTTGACACAATAAGTAATGCTAAAAATAGTAAAAATTATATAAATGCGACTTTGAAAATGCAATAAACTTTAGTGAGGATTGATGTTGGATATTAGCCTTTGAGAATAAAACTGATATAGAAAACTTATATCAGATATATTGAAATCTTTCAACACATTTTACAATTCCTACTTCTCAAATTAAAAGCTTATAGAATAAATGACTAACTCTACAATTGGATTTTGATGTTACCTAAGAGATCGGCATTAGAGTATCATTATTGGTGGTACATACTCAGAATGGATAATAGTAAATAGTGGGGTCCCTCATTATTAACTTTTATGATATATATTAAAGATTTTTCTGATTTGGTTTTAGATGTTGTATCTATATTTACAGATGATACTAAGTTATACAGTTTGCTTTTTGATAGCTCACCATGCAATAACCTGCAATAAAGTATGGACATTATAGCAAACTGGGAAAAACTATGAAAACTAAGTTTTAATGTAAAAAAATGTAAAGTTATACCCTTAGGACCAACAAATACAAAATTTTCCCTTAGGACCAACAATGCCCTTAGGACCAACAAATACAAAATTCATTTATATACTCTTTTATAAAAATCTCAATACTTCAATTAATATTAAAAACTCTCTCGTCAATAAAGGGATCTTCATTGACAGTAATTTGACTTTTATTTTGTAAGTACAAAGAATAACACCGCTAATAAAGTTGTAGGAATGATCAAAAGATCATCTGTCAATCTCAATATCTTGACATTTCGTACTTTGTTTATTTTCCTTGTTCGTCCTCACCTTGATTTTTGCAGCTCTGTCTACTATCCTAGACTTTAAAAAGATCAACAATTAATTTAAAATGTTCTATGCCAGTCTAGTAAATTTGTTTTAGGCCAGACTGGACTCACTTACAACCAAAGACTACTGAGACTAAATTTAACTAGCATGAGCTATCGTTTCTTATGTAATGACATGGCAGAAACTTACAAATACATTCACAATCTTTATAATTGTAGTTGCAACCCTTTTGTTTCCTCATAAAATACCATTCAGTATTTTATCTATCAACACCTGTGTCAGAATGATGTCATCTGCACAGCCATTCTATTTATTATTGTAATTACAGACCATTAAGTAATTAATCTGAGTTGTAATAGCATGCGTGTTAATATGGCCACTTATAAATATTAATATATGATTATATATTTAGTTAATATTTATTCCTCCATTAAACTAACTAACTAACTCCAACTTAACAACATGCGATCATGCTTATAAATTGAAAAAAATGTTTTGTAAGACAGATGTCCGGAAAAAACTATAATAATCTCAAAAAATAAAGTTAATCTAAAATTTTTTTCTATCATAAATTTATTTGTGATTATTTTTTAGCTGATGCACCGTTAAACTGAAGGTGGTAATAAAGATTACAAAATTTGCTCTGGCTGAATTTTTTAATGAAAAAACAATATGTGTGCTATAAATGTAATCTGTTTTTTATGGCGTTTTAATAAAAGTTTGGTGAATTGGCCAAATCACTTGCAAGCATCGTGCCATACGTAAAGTCACGCTTTTAAAAGTAACTGAAGGCAGCTGAAAATAAGAACTTTTTAGTAATTGTCTTATTTACAATATTGTTTTTGTTTTATTTACAGTATTGTCTTTGTTTTTTATCTAAACAGCTATGTTTGACTCAAATATAAATAAATGTTGATTGTTTAGTACGGTTTCATCTCTTCTTTATACTTTTTTTTGACAGTTATGAGAACGGAATTATCTGTGCCTCCAGCTTAAAAGAATGCAGGTTTCAAAAAAAGTGACACTGATGAGATTGTCTGTCAGTTTCTCAAAGATTGAAGAAATCGTTAGTGTTTTAGGGTTAAGTGATTCCATCAGAGCTTTGCTTGACTATCTCTTTCGATTTATTGAATTTATTTGCCGGTTATAAATAAAAAAGATCTTTTAAACCTAGAAGAAGAATTATGAAACAAAGACACATTATGAATCAATAGTATATATCAGTGAATTGATATTAGTTAATAGTTTTTGGAAACAGTACCATGTACTACTAAAGTTTTTAATTTTTAAAATATATGATACATTTGTATGAAACATACAAACAAATGATACAATACGATACGTGATTGACAATGCCTACTAATCTCAGATATCTTTTACGTCTGTAGGGTGTATTCACCGCTACAGATGTCATAATCTATTTATAACCAATTGCTTTTACTTTTCCATAATGTCATATTTTAATAAGAATCACATTATGGAACACCGTCTAATACATTCACATGAGGAACCATTATACTTTTAGTACAAACGATTATATTACATTTGTTTTCTTATTTTAGATGAACTTTCTTACTTCGGTTGGAGGAGATGAGAAACAACTTACAGTGGCAATCTTAATACAGCAAATGGCCAAAAAAGTATGTTTTTTATACTCAGTGTATTGAATGAAACAAAAGCGTTCTGCAAGGTCGTTATAGGTAAAGCACAATTGTATTCTACATCCCATTTCCTTTTAATGAATAAATATTTTAATTAAAGCTAATTACTTTACAATATTTATAGTGAAAAGTTATATATTTCAAAATTATATTGTGATGATATTAAAAAAACATTTTGTAGAGTTGCGTTTAGTCGTTTATCGTTGTATTCGTTCATTTCGAAATCGCTAAAAAATTGGCAGCTTTCTGGCGACGGCCATTAATAGAGATTATGGAAGAAAAATAGAACCGTAACTGAGCAACACCCAATATTAAGCAATGAAATAAGTATCGCCAATATAATGAAAGTCGATGCCCACTATCTCATAGTGAGAGTATAATACAGTAGTTTATATATATATATATATATATATATATATATATATATATATATATATATATATATATATATATATATATATATATATATATATATATATATATATATATATATATATATATATATATATATATATATATATATATATATATATATAAGTATATAAAATTGATTTTATTTTATTATGTTTTGGTTTTGGAAAAATCTATACCTCTTTTTTTCATTTGTATCTGTTTCATATAACTTTAAATAAATATAATTATTTCGAATTTTTTTTTCATAAAGCGTGTTCTATGATTATTGTCATCTCCTAGGTTATAACCTGTTTAACTCAAAAGAATAATGCAGCCTAGTATTATAGTATCACTTAAACAAGAAAACTATTATAAATTTTAATTATTACAAATTTGTAGAAGGCAATATTTTTTATTACTTTTTGAAAATAAAAATTTAATCGAAAATACTCAATATATTGCCTTATTTTAGTTATATATATTATATATATCAGCATAATATTGTAAACTATATTAGGCCGATATTGGCCAGTATAATGTCCCCATTATTGGCGCGATATAATTTACAATATTGGCGCAATATTATAAACTATATCGGCCATTGTTGCAGTGTGAAAATTTTGCCAATATTGGCCAATATTGACTTTACAGTATTGGTGCAATATTGTATCGCCAATATTGGCCAATATTGACTTTACAATATTGGCGCAAAGTTGTATCACCAATATTGGCCAATATTGGCAAAATGTTCACATTGCAACATTGGCCCGATGTAGTTTACAATATTGCGCCAATAATGTAAACAATATCGCCCCAATATTGCGCCAATATTGTTTGCTACTAGGGAAACATCTCCTCAGAGTCGCGTCTATTATTACTAGCATTTCGATGAGGATCAGCATTTAAAATATAAAACAATGGCTGGAACTAAAACTATAATATTTCAAAAATAAATAAATTAGTTTGAAAGCAGTTTATCAGACTGATACAGGCAATAAATTAATTTCGGCACGTTTTTTGCTGCCATTTTAGTTTTTCTAACAATTCAAAAAAATTTTAGTTCCATCTTTGGAGTAACTGTTTAGCTACCATATGTCCAAAGTATTTAGTACAAATTTCACTCAGAACATGATTGTTTTAGCCAAGGGAAGATTTTAAATAAATCATGCTGACTCTGCTTTAAAAATTGCAAATTTTTTTCCTTTTTTTACAAGAAATAAGAAACAAATTTTTATAAAAAGTAAGATTTAAAGGGGGACGAACAACTACATGAGCACTTATAGCTATAAATTGCAGCAAAGAAATAAACGACAAAAAAAAAAAAAAAAATACAAAGAAGAAAGAAGGAAAACCTTTAGTGAATAATTATTATAAAACTAAAAAAACAATGTTTCTTTTATTTAGTAAGTATATGCATTTAAATTTATGCATTTTTTTAAATTAAGCCAAATAAATAAAATTAAAATCAAAATTTTTTTACGATTTTTTCATTCATGGTAGGCGAAGCATCAATTACGCGGTGCCGTATCACAGTAGGTGAAGAAACGTACTAGATAGTACAAAAAGTTGAAAATAACATTGAAAAAATAATTTTACTCAAATTTGAATAATATAAATTAGTTAATTTATATTAATATAAAGTATGTTATATAGAATATAAATTATTAATCCGAAAGCCCTGAATTTAAATCAGTTACGGTTTTAGAGTAGTGAGCTTTTAAAGTTAAAAATTTATTTAAGGTTACGGTAGGAGACGACATTACCCTACATTCTAATCGAAATCAGAAAAAATATATATATTTGGTAAAGAAACTGTTGAAAAATGTAATGTAATGCTCGATTATAGGTTTTATTATAATTATGTTAAATTTTTTAAAATATATTTAACAAAATTCAAAACCAATTTAAAGCAAACAACATGAAAAATGTTATATAATATTATAATATAATAATCAATATATATAATATAATAATCAATATTAATAATTTCAAGAAAATATAACATACTTTATATTAAATATAATTCAAATTTTTTTATATGTAAGCTAACAAGCTATAAGTTGTATGTAATAAAAAGCTATAAAGCTGAGTTTCATTATATATAAAAAAACCAATAATAATAACTGTTAACTACTTCATCATTTAGGAAACAGTATCTTCATCAGTTGATACAGAACTAGTGTTTTTATATAAGGTTGCAAATAATTGATTATCTGCAGAAATAAGCAGCTCCATTATATCCTTACTCAACAATTCAACACTTTCATTTCCATTCATATGCTTGGAATTAGACTTAACGAAACTGTAAGTAATGTATAATGTTACATCTTTTAAAGCCATCTTACTAGCCACGGTTTCAGGCACGCTATTTACTTCGGTAATCATTGTTGCTAGCTTCTCTGATTTTTTCTTTAACCATTGTATTAAATTTTTAAGTTTACCTGTAGGATAGTGTGTTTCGCCTTTTTCTATAGCTTCTTTTTTAGCTATAGCAATATCAATTGCCGACTTTGCTAAAACTAAATCTATGTCTTTATCAAGTAGAGAATTGGTCATATTGTCAACTACATTTTTTGATACTCTAGCTAACTTGGCCTCGGAAATTTTTTCAAAAAAACAATTTACGATATTTAGTATTCCAATCGCAATTGAAATTGATTGGGAAACATCCGCAAAACCTAGAAATTTAAATATCCTACTCTTTATACCAAAACAACTAAACATACTTCCTAATACTCCTCTAATATTAGGATTTTTGCTTTCCCCTTTTATTAAACCAGTGCTTATCAGTCTATACGCTAATAGTGAGTCGCTTAAAGCCCTATAAAATACAGTAGCATATGTGTAGACATTTTCGCCATGCTTTTGCCTTAATGATTCAAACTTTTCCCTTATTTGTTCTTCATCAAATGAATTATTTCTAACTAAAGTATCATTAATGTAGACTAGCTGCTTTATTACTCCATTCATATCTATTTGAAGCACTCTTAAATCTTCATTAAACATATTATGAATCTTTATACTTTGTAAAGCAAATTTTTCAAACTCCTCTTTGTTTATGAAAACCTCACGATATATACTTTCAATATCACTCTCAATTTTTTCTATGCGTCTTTTAGCGTCTTTAAGTTCAGCTTGAATTGAACTGTTTTTTTTTTCTTGCAATAACATCCAATTATTCATTGTTTTTTTTAGATCTTTAATGGCTTCAGGTTCTTTTTGGAAGTCATGTTCTAAATTTATAAGAGGTTTTAAAACCTCACTAATGTAATAAATATTTTGGGTAGTTAATCCTTCTATTCTACCTTCTTCATAAAACTTAACTGCCTTAGTAAAGCAGTTTCTAGCTCTTTCTTCTTGACCTGCAATGCAATAAAGTATGCTGCCTTTATTACAATAATATAGAGGATTAAGACTTATATCGTTGGTTGCTTTTTCAAACTCTTTAAGAGCATTCTCGTTGTCTCCTTGAGCTACGTAAAGCAGTCCAATACTATTATAAAGAGCAGCTTCATCTTCTAAAGAACAGTCATTTGTTTTATACAGCTGAAGAGCTTCTTGATATTTTTTATGTGCCTCTTCATACTTACAAAGATTACGAAAACAGTCTCCCTGAGCTTTTTGTACATCGGGTCTAATTTGAATTTTATCAATTTCTTTGTATTTATCGAGGGAACCTTGATATTCTTCAATATCGTATAATATGTTACCATATTTATATAAGAATACGATATCAAGTGTATATCCTAAAGTAGAGTTTATTTTAGTTTTCTTTGTTTTTGGATGAGTTTTGGATAGATCTTCAACTTTTTTTTCAGCATTTTGTAAAATCTTTATTGCATCATCTAAATTTCCAAATTCATGTTTAGAATTAGCTTCTTTAAGTAATTCAAGAATACAATCTTTCATTTTTTTAAAACTTAAACCATCTTGATTCAAGTTGGTATTTAAATTGTAATTCTCTTGATCCATCTGATTTGAAAACCAGTTTTTCTAAAAAATATATAATATATATATATATATATATATATATATATATATATATATATATATATATATATATATATATATATATATATATATATATATATATATATATATATATATATATATATATATATATATATATATATATATATATGTATATATATATATATATATATATATATATATATATATATATATATATATATATATATATATATATATATATAATATTATTGTATTTAGTAGGTAGACAAAATAAAACCCTTCAAAAATTACACTTTAGATATTATTCACATCAAAATTAATAAAATTTACATTTAAATGATAAAGTTTAAAAAAGTTCAAAAACTTTTACAGTTTAAGAAATTTGATCCCAAAAACCTTTAAATATTATTGTTTCATTAAGGTAATTATCTCAAAACTATTAGTCCTAGTAAATTAAAATATTTTAAATTTGCTAATAATATAAAAAGGAAGATCCTGTACCAAAACCAAAAAAATATATTGAACAGACTTTTTTAAAAAGAATAACACTTTAGAAACAAAAAATGATGTGTTTTTGACTATATTTAGACCTTAAAATTTTGGCGAAGGATAATGTCATTAAAGAAGTAGAGGGTATCCATTTTAATATAAAAAAAACAACTCTAAAAAATTTCATGGTAATAGGCTAGAAAATATACACAACAAAATCCAAGATTCTAGGCAAAGAATATTTGTTCTTATTTTAAGAACTTGATTCTTGCTTTAAGAACCTGATTCTTATTTTAAGAACTTGATTCTTATTTTAAAATCATGATACTTATTTTAAAAATTTTATTCTTGTTTAAGGATATTTCAATAAAAAAACATTACTAATTTTGTAATATCGTGATAACTTATTTTTGTAAATAATATGTAAATATATATATATCCCTAGTAGCAAAATATATTGGTGCAATATTGGGTATCTTGGCCAATATTGGAAAAGATATACAATATTGCGCCAATAATGGTTGAATGTATTGCGCCAATATTGGCATACCAATATTGGAAAGTATTAGCATGCCAATATTGCTCCAATATTGTTTGTCCAATATTAGAATGCCAATATTGGAGCTATATTGGCATGCTCATATTGGCCAATATTGATATGCCAATTCTGTCTCATATTGACGATTTTTGGAGTTTTACGCATACGTAACAAAATTGCTAAGTAAATTATTTGTGTTGATAATTTTGTGTTAGTAAGCTTTGTAAAGTAAATTAAGTAAATTATTTGTGTTGATAATTTTGTGTTAGTAAGCTTTGTTGACTTTATAAGGTGTCTTAACAAGGTAATTAAAAAAAATTTATTTAAAATTAAATAATAATTCTAACATGAAATCCCTTATTTGTTAACGATGTGTTTGTTGCTGCGTAAGCTTAAATATATACCTGTATATGTATACAATTACATATTTATACTCACTTTACTGTAACCGTTCAAATGCAATTTGCTCTAAACTTTCATGCATTAATAATTTAACTATGAAAAAATATGTTGGCGTAATATTGCAGTTTATATATAGCCAATTTTGTAAATAAATATTGGCTATATATATCAAAATGTGGACATTTTATATTAGTGCAATATTGTTAACAATATTGTACCAATATTGAGATCAATATTGAAACAATATTGAGCCAATGTTGCTTGCTACTAGGGATATATATATATATATATATATATATATATATATATATATATATATATATATATATATATCCACTACAAGAACTAATAAAACCATACATGCATATATTAAACTTATGTATTTAAAGCACGCATTCATTGTATTTTGTTTATAGGTACTGCAATAACCTATGTTATAATCTACTCACTATATATTTTATATACTACTTACTTTATTACATTACAATACAATAAGATTATAAAATACAAACATAGTAATTATAAACATCAGGCAGTTATTAGCTTCAATTTGATTAAACATTTATTATATTTAAATATAAGTTAACAAAATATAAAACGTAATTCTATATTGGATAACAACTAAACATTTCAATTAACAAAATAAAAGCTAAGTAAATACAGTATAATAAATTTAAATCTACAGCATGTAAATATTAATATTTGCTTTGGTTGTTGTTTTAATGTAAAAAATTAAATAAACATAATATTAGATATCGGCAAAAAAAAAAAATACAAACAAAATGTATCGTTTTGCCCCGCATCATGTTGGCATCGAATAGCCTAATTTCCAGACTATTTTATTGAAGAAATAAAATACCAAAGAATGGAAATGAAAGGAAAAAGCCTAAAGATTCTAATTAAAAAAAAAAATTTTAATATAAAAAGCTTTTCCACTCAGTGAGATCAAAAAAGGCTAGGAAAAAATATAATAACAACTCTTAAAAATTCGTAATTTTCGCGAAGCCGAGGGATGAAATGACTCCCCTTTTACTCAACTTTTTTATTTCAAAGTGACAATATATTTTTCTTTACACAAAATAGTTTTTGAACACAACTGCACTTTTAAAAATCTTGCAAATAATAATTTGTAGGGCTGGCATTATATTAAAAGCGAACTTTCTCGTATTGCCCCACTGTCTCATTTTGCCCCGCATTACCCTATATATATATATATATATATATATATATATATATATATATATATATATATATATATATATATATATATATATATATATATATATATATATATATATATTAGTTTAGTAAAAAAGTAATGGAATAATATGGGGCAATATTGTTTGCTAATATTGGAAGGCATTATTGGCGTAATATTGCTTGACAATATTGGCGCAATATCGGATATCTGCCAAGATTCGCCAAGATACCCAATATCGCGCCAATATTGTATATATATATATATATATATATATATATATATATATATATATATATATATATATATATATATATATATATATATATATATATATATATATATATATATATATATATATATATACAATATTGGCGCGATATTGGGTATCTTGGCGAATCTTGGCAGATATCCGATATTGCGCCATTATTGTCAAGCAATATTACGCCAATAATGCCTTCCAATATTAGCAAACAATATTGCCCCATATTATTCCATTACTTTTTTACTAATCTTGATATGCCAATATTGGTGAAATATTATTTGCCAATATTGGCTTTATATTAAACAGTTTATATTGGCCAATGTTTACATTTTTACATATTGGTACGCATGCGTAACATTATGGAATATTCATATTGTCCTTTAGTTTTGCTAAATGTATTTATATGCAAATAATAGCATCTTTTTACATTAGCAGACATCCTTTTTTCAATAATTTTTTACAAAAAAAAAATTTAAGTTATGAAAAGGAAAGAGGTAGGAAAGGTAACTTTAATTCAATATTTACAAAGTAAATCAGGAGAGTGTTGGAAATTTGTTTTGAAACAGATTGTATCACGAGAAGAAGTGGAAAGAGTAATGAAATTCTTTTATTCAACATTTACGGATTAAATCACGAGAAGAAGTGGTTGTAATTGATTTAAAACAAATTGCATCACAAGAAGAAGAAAAATATTGCTATACTATAAGTATCAAGATTAAAATAGTAAGTTTACACTTAAATAAAAACACTTTAAGAAGATTTCATCTGTAAAATATAAGTTTTATAATCTATTTATTATGTTAAAAATATTCATTTAAGAAATAAATACCTTATTATTATATTTTTCTAACTGTAACAACCCTGTGTAAAGTCCGACGGTGAGCCGGGGACGTACTCTTGTCAAACGCCTATTCCGATGTTGACTTCCTTTGCGTCCGTGAATTCGTATTTCTAGAAAATAGGCAAAATGGGGTATATAGGGATTTGCGCAGCGGTGCGCACATACACCGACTGATTTTTAGAGAGAACATGCTGCGGAATGTGCAAACAACGACTGAGGGTTTGGGGTAGGCAGGTTCTCTTTAAAATAAAGAAGTCGTTTTTTTTTTATTTTCGGACCTTAAGGACAGCGTCGGAATAAGGGTTTGACAAGAGAGCCTACCGGTGAGACGAGCTCGGGCCGAGCTTGTTACATTGGTTGAACATCGGCTACTCTGTTTTTAGCAAAACAATATCGGTTGAACATCTGTTTTGTGTCTGTTGGCCGATGAATAGGCAAACAGATATTCAGCCGACGTTCAGCCGATGTACAGCCGACGATCAGTCATTTTGGTGTTTTTAATTTTAATTAACGAAAGTTAATTCGTTTACCTGTTAAATTAATATTATTTAATAATATTATATTTGGTATTTATAAATAATAACTTTATTTTTTATTTACAAATAGTTATTTGAATTTTATTTGAATAGTTATAAAAATTTATAAATCATTAAAGTTTAAGATATAAAAATATTAGATAATGATATCAATATACTTATTAAACAGTAATTTGTTTTAATAACAATATAAAAATAATAACAAAATAAAAAAAAATATTTAAACTGTGAGCATACAGATAAGGTAGAAATATTTTTGTATGCTGATAACATAAGTTTTAAGCAGAATAGCTTTATTTTTTTATCATGTCATTTCGAATTTTTGTCTTGTTTATTTATATTGTATATTTTATATTTACAATAACTATTTTTTTTATGATCACAATATTATTATTATTATTACTATTATTATTTTAAAAAATGTGCTAATTTATTTACTTAAAGTTACAATAAATAAATAAAATAAAACAAACAAGCTGTGATACACATTACAGTGTATAGAGTCTAACAACAGTAGATATCAGACTGTTACAGCTTTTTACAGTTTTTTATGCAATTGTCATAAAGGGTTTTGAATGTATTTAAGTTTTTTGCATCCACAACTTCTTGTGGTAAACGATTCATTTTGTCCACTATTTTATTTGTTAAAAAAATGTTGACTGTTTTTTTTGTTTTGTTGTCTACATTTTATTTCGTTGTGCTCTCTTGTAATTGAATTTTTTATAAATATAGGAGGATTGTACCAATTAATTACATCTAAGTTATTCATAAACCTGTATAGTTGTATTATATCGGCTCTCGATCTTGTATTTTTTAATGTCAAAAGATTCATTTTTGTTTAATCCATTTTCTTTTATTATCTTTGTTGGACTTGTTCGATCATGTTGATATGTTTTTGTAAATGTGGGTTTCATAATGGTGATCCATATTCAAGATGAGGTCTGACTAATGAAGTAAATAGTAATCATATATTTCTTTTATCTAAATATTTAAAAGAGTGTTTTATTAGACCTAATTTTTGGTAAGCCTTATTGACTGTATAGTTAATGTGGTAATTCAAGTGAAGGTCATTTCATATATATACAAGGTTGCCACTCAACCTGGAAATACCTGGAAATAGCATGAATCCCAGGGAAAACCTGGAAAACTCAGGGATTTTTTGAAGTTTTCATAAAATTCCAGAAAAACTCAGGGAAAAATTTTTTTTATTGAAACTTTGTACAATAATTTTTTAAAATCTTTTTATAATTTTTCTACAATAATAATTTTTTTAAAAAAAATATTTTGCTAATACATATAATAATAAGTTTGCAAGATGTGGATCTTTTTGTAAAAGTTTAAGTTTGTCAAGTACAAAGATTGTGTTTAATTAAGGAAAATAATAATCTTGTTGATGAACAGGAAAGAATATAGAAAAGTCATGGAAAAGTCAGGGAACTTAAAGAGGTAAAATCAGGGAAAAAACTATCTTTACTCAGGGAATACTCAGGGAAAAACTTTAAAAATTATAGTGACAACCCTGATATATGCCAAGATCGTTTTCTAAAGTTGTTTTTGTTACTTTAGTGACATACGTTTTATTTTTGGAATTGTTAAGCATCAGGTACTTATTTATAGGATTATTTTTTCAGATATGCATAACTATTTGTCTTAATTAAATACTATCAACTAGTTTTTTGTCCATTGTACAATGTTATTTAGATCTTCTTGTAAATTTTTGGTAATACTGTTATGATCTAGTATAGGTATTAATTTTGTATCATCTGCATACAGTTTACATTGGTTTTTTATATTTAACATCATATCATTTATGTATAAAATAAACAATAATGGTCGAAGTACTGATCCCTGAGGAACACCACTTATAACATTTGTCTATTCAGAAATATTTTCTCCAAGTACAACTCGTTGTAACCAATTTTTTAGAAAAACTCTGCACCAGTTCAACAGATCATCAATAATACCATACCATAATACCATCAATAATACCATAACCAGCTGATTTCATGCACAATTTTCATGTAGCACAGTATCGAAAGTGTTAGCAAAATCTAGAAATATAATTTTAACTGGAATATTTTTGTCAAATGCTTTTCTGACAATATCTAATGTTTCTAGTAAATTTGTACAACAATTTTTTTTATTTAAACCATGTTGGTGCACTAAGATTAAATTACTATTATTAAGATATTTCATTATTTCATCTCTGACAATACTTTCCATGACTTTGCATACAATCAATGTTAATGAAATTGGTCTGTAGTTAGCTGATTCAAGTATGTCATTTTTCTTATGCAATGATGTTATATTTGTATGTAACCATAAGTTTGGTAGAGTTGCACTTTCGAATGATTGATTAAACATTAACTCTAATGGTTTGCATAAACTTTGTGAGCATTCCTTCAACACTCTTGGATGTGCTTTATCAACGTCTGTTGTTTTATTTGTGTTTTGTTTCAATTATTAATTTCTACAATTTTGGATATGGACAACTTAAAAAAGTTTTTTTTTCAAATAATGGAATATTATTGCTATTTTAAATTATGAATACTGAACTGAAAAATGTGTTTAATGTATTGGATATTGTTTTACCATTTGTTGTATCATCACCATTTATATCTCTTATGGCTCTAATAGTGTTTTTTATTTTGTTTTTACTGTTTATATAAGAGTATATACATTTAGTATTTAATTTTGATTGTTTTACTAAATTATGTTCATACTCCATAATTGCTTTTTTAATATCTTTTTTAATATCTTATTAAGATTGTTGTAATTTATAACATCATCTATATTTTTAAAACCTGCAGCTCTGATGTTGTACCATAAGTTCCCTGTTAACTTTAATTTTAGGTCTTAAGTCAACTTTAATAATTTTATTTTTCTAATATTTTGGTTGTTTTGTTGAATTTGAGGGATAAACATTTTCCAACCTTTTTCATAAATTGCTTTCACCAACACTTAAGGTTTCAAACTCTTTTTCCTAGTTATAACTATTAAAGTATTTGTTTAACTCTTTATATTTATCTTATATATATAGTCTTTGTTATTGGTAACTTTATCCATTAAACTATATTCAAAATTCAATACATGGTGGCCATGTTCTAAATTACTAAGGGTTGGTGTATATTCTAACATTTCTTTTTCTTTTTTTTTCTTTGTTTTCTTCTATTTTTTAAGTATAATTAATTAGTATAATAAATTATCTAAGAGATTTAATTTTTTACTAAATTATGTAAGAGATTTGTGTCTTATTATAAGAAAATTAAAAGAAACTTGTGTCTATTATAAGTTCAATTGTATATATAATTTTTTAGATAAAGAAATAGATGTCGAAGAAACCTAAGCAAACTTATGAATTATCGAATTGATTTTTTCAGCAATCTATAAAGGTTTTTTCAGGTCCATTAGTAGTTAAGTTTTTCCTAGTTAGGAATTGATTAATTTGGAATGCAAACTTAATTATACACGTATTTTTTTAAAATATTTTTTTTATCTCCTTTTTATTATAAGTTTTTATTTTTTCATTTCTTTAGTGTTACTATTTTTGGATTCATTGCCAATCAAAGTAGTGCTTTTAATATTAACAGATGAACTCTTTCTAGTATGTCTCCTTGTCAATAGTTTGTTGTATGATTATGTTAATTTAATGAATACAATTTTAAAAATGTATTCTACAAAATTAAGCAAAGCTCAGACGGAAGCCAAAGATGCAAATGGTTTTGGCGGTACACATCCTGATTCAAAATACCCATGTAACTTTTTATTGAATTAGAAATATAATACTTTTCATATTAAGAATGTAAATTAGTTTTTTCGTTCTCTGAAATTAAAAGTTAAAGTTTGGTATTGTCTGGAAGTCTATACACTTCCAATCGGTAAATATACATTAGTATGTATACCTAGTCAGTAACCTATCTAAGTTGCGATTTTGTGTTTTACATTTACTTTAGTTGCTTAATCCTATTTTCTTTTTTTTCCGATTTAAATATGTGTTAAAATTTGCATCGGTTAGCCGAACATTTGTAGCTTACTTTAATCATCGGGCCTAGCTCGGCTGCCGACATCGGACCGCCATTGTTTTTGTCCATACGGAATCCCATTGGACTGAGATCGGCCAGCCAATGATTTGATTTGAATCGCGTCGGCTCAACATCAGCCAGCCGATGCATCGCGACAGTTTGAGCGGCTAGCCGATGCCGGGCCGACTTCGGTCCGTATGGACAAAAACGCCGTCGGTCCGATATCCGCAGCCGAGCTCGGCCCAACATCGGCTTTAACACAGGGAAGATTTAATTTACAGAAAAGGTACCACTGCTTGACACCTAATAATATCAATAATATGTATACATATATATATATATATATATATATATATATATATATATATATATATATATATATATATATATATATATATATATATATATATATATATATATATATATATATATATATATATATATATATATATATATATATATATATATATATATATATCACTATTGACCTTCACACACACACACACACGCACACACACACACACACATACACACACACACACACACACACACTAATAATAATATAATAATAAGTTATATAAATACTTTGTAAATGCAATAAATGTAATAAGTTATGTAAGGTTACGTAAAGTAATAAGTTATATAAAGACTTTAAAAATGCAATGAAACTTTGGTGAGGATTGACACTTGGACATTAGCCTTAGAGAATAAAACTTATATAGAAAATGTAATAAGATGTATAAAGACTTTGAAAATGCAATAAACTTTATTGAGGATTGACACTTGGACATTAACATTAGAGAATAAAACTTATATAGAAAATTTATATAAAACCTTTTGACACATTCCACATTTATTTTCTTTTTCTAAATTTAAAAGCTTAGAGAATAGATAACAAATTCTACAATTAGATTGAATGCTACATAAAAGATCGGAAGTAGGGTATCATTGTTGGTGGTACATACTCAGAATGGATAATAGTAAATAGTGTCGTCCCCCATTATTTACTTTTATAATATTTTTTTTTAAGTTGTATAAGGTGCCCCAAGAAGTCCTTACTGTCTTATCACAGAACACCGCGGAAGAGCATTTAATAGGAAGTTCACGCCTCCTTACCAACCGATGTCGCAAAACTTGAACCTCGGATCTTACGTTTCTGAGGCAAGTGCGCTACCAATGCGCTACGGCTGCTCTATTTTTTTGATATATACTAATGATTTTTTTTATTTGTATTTAGATGTTGTATCTTATTTACAAATGATTCTAAGTTATACAATTTGCTTTCTGATAACTCATTATGCAATAACTTGCAAAAAGATATGGACATTTTTTTATGTTTAGTATTTTATCAATCATTACCTGTGGTAGAGTGGTGTCATCTGCACGGCTGTTATATTTTTTATTGTAACTACAGACCATTTTGTAGTTAATCTGAGTTGTATTAGCACGCGTTTCAATATAGCCAATTCCTAATATTAATATATAGATTATATATTTAGCTAGTATTTATTCCTCCATAATAACTAACCCTAACTAAAAAACCTGCCTTAATAACTAACCCTAACTAAAAAATAATAAGACAGATTTCTGGAAAAACTTTTTAAGTATGCAACTCACAAATTTAAAGAATAGTCTACCATCTGAAATAGTGTGTTCAACATCTGTCACAACCTTTAAAAAGAATTTAGATGCATATTGAGTACATCAAATGTACAATTGCATATAAACAATTAGACCGACACAAGTAGAAAAAAATAAGACAAAAGGTTGATAGGCTTATTTTTTATACATTATTGTACTTTTAAAATTATAACCTAGGAAAATCATAATTATAACAACAATAATAATAATAACAATATGTTATATCAAAACTCTTATAATAGTTATTTGCTTAAAGATACTTTATATTCCTTCAAGTTTGTTGACATATCATAATTTAATGAAACCAACCCTAATTTAACTTAAATAACAAATGCTGTTTATTATTTTTTTAAATCTAAAATAGTAAAGTTTTACATTTCACTGTATATTTACTGCAGCATGCCAGAAAATAAACTTATTTTTTTATTACACAGTATAATTTTATTTATTGTAGAAATAAAAATATTATGAAATTAAATTTGAAATTTATTAAACACCGAATAATTTTTATGTTTATTTTTTTAGTGTTGTATATTAAAAACACTTTATTATAGTGTTCCATAGCTGAAAAAAATATTCATTATATGCCTGGTTAACTCATTCATTTGAGTATTGTAATCAGGGCTGTGAAGTCGGAGTTGGGGTCGGAGTCAAAGTTGCGGAGTTGCGACATTTTTAGCGGAGTCGAAGTTGGAGTCGGAGTCGTTAAGCAAAATCGCGACTTCGACTTTAATATTAAAGTTTCCTGGTATTACACGTACATTACAAAACTTTTAATTAACCTTATGTTCATTCTAAACCATAGAGAGCGTTTTTAAAAGTACAAAAAAGAACTTTTTAACTAATCGCGAAATATTTTTTTAAGAATTCAAAGTATTTTTTATAAATTTTGCTTTGGAGTTGGAGCCGGAGTCGGAGTTGGAGTCGGGGTCGGAGTTGTTTTGAAAAATTTAAACAACTAGAGTCGGAGTCGGATTTGTACTCAAAAAAAATGGAGTCGGAGTCGAAGTCGTTACTTTTTTTTTACGACTCCACACCCCTGCTTGTAGTCTTTGGGTAAAGATTTACTTTGGGAGCCTCAAGTTGGTTGTCTTCAGAGTGCATTTACTACGGCTCTTTAGCCGTAGTAAAGGCAATCTATAATGGAGAATGAAAACACTGATAAAAATAAATTGTGACAAATATTTTAACTCTTCCTTAATGTCATATTTAAATAAGAAAATGTTATTATGAAAGCCTTTCCAAATAGCACAAACTTTAAAATCTATTTTCTTTTACTAACCAATAATCAAACTCTACTTGAAATAAAAATCGATTACATTTTACATTAAGAAATGAAACTTATTAAATTTTAGACTAATATTTACAGTTAAAAATAATAATATTCCGAAGTTTTTTTATATCATAAATCTAATTATTTAAAAATAGACTTACCACATAAATTCAATTTGTGAAAAACTTTTTTGTAAAGCTATTAATAACTAAGTAAATACACGTTTAATTGATTAATCAATCAGCTCCTAGGAATTAGGAAAAATGATACAATAAAAACTTTTATGGTTGTCAGAAAATTTAGAAACAAGCTTAACATTTTATTTTAAATTAATACTATATAAAATAAAGATGTTTTTAGCTTTTTATGATTAAACTGAAAATGGAAATGTTTAGAAAATTTGCCCTGACTGAATTTTTCAATGAAAAAAAAACAATATGTTTGCCATAAATGTAATCTGTTTTTCATGGCGGATCAATGACAGTTTGGTGTATTGGCCATATCACTTGCAACCATTTCACCTTTTGGCTGTCATATGTGAAGCCACGCTTCTAAAAGTAAATGGAAGCAGCTGAAAATAAATTATTTTCGTAATTGCTTATTTACATTATTGATTTTGCTTATTTAATTTTAAGTTACACATGTGCAAGATGCTAATGATCTAAACAGTTTGTTTGACTCAAGTATTGTAACTGTTCATGGTTTAGTATGGTTTCATTTTTTCTTTTTATTTATTTTGGCAGTTTTGAACCTGCTTTAGAACAGATAGAAATGTTACAGTTTACATCAAGCGTTGGAATAGCTGTTGATAGTGATGAAGAAGAATTATCTTTGCCTCCAGCATTAAAAGTTGCAGGTTACAAAAAAAGTGACACTGATGAATTTACATCAGTTTTTCAAAGATAAGAGAAATCTTTAGTTTTTTAGGGTTAAGTGTTTCCGTCTGAGCTTTGCTTGACTATCTGTTTTAATTTATTGAGTTTATTTGCGGGTTAAAGAGAAAAAAAGATCATTTTAACCTGGAAGAAAAATAATGGAACAAAGGCACCTTATGAATCAGTGAGTATGTTTTTGGAAACAGTTCCATGTATTATTAAAGTTTCTATATTTTAAAATATATGATACATTCATATGAAACATACAAACAAATGATGCAATATGATACATAATTGATTATAATTATGATGTATATAAGAATGTTTAATATAAATGTCTATTATATTTTGTTTATTTGTTTTGACTTTTATCTGTTATGCCCAATTAGCAATGTATTTTGTGTAGCAATGACAACTAATCTCAGATATTTATGACATCTTCAGGTTGTATTCACCACAGCTTTTTGCTGTGGCTTATACTACTCTGTAATTGTGGTCAAGGGTAAGAGAAGCTCACAAACCTGTATGAAGTTCTGAATGATATTTTTCCTAGTGTTACATTATAAAAGTTTTATAAAAAAAAATCAGTCCTGATCTGCAAAAAAGGTTGACCTCATTTCTTTATAACCAATTGCTTTTACTTTTCCATAATGTCATATTTTGATAGGAAAGTCATATATTGGAAACCTGTCTAATACATACACATGAAAGGAGCCAATAAACTTTTAATACAACCAATTATATTACTTTTTTTTTTTTTAAATAAACCTTCTTACATTGGTTAGAGGAGATAAGTTACAGTGGCAATCTTAATACAGCTAAAAACCAAAGAAGTATATTTTTCATACTCAATGTATGGAAGCACAATATTTGTATTCTACCTCCCGTTTCCTTTTAATAAACAAATATTTTAATAAAAGCTAATTATTTTACGTGAAAAATTATTTATTTCAAAATTATATTGTGACGATATTAAAAACATTTTCTTAAGTTACGTTTAGTCATTTATCGTTGTATTCGTTCAATACGGAATTTCTACTGACAAAAGTATTAAGAAAAAATTGGCAGCTTTCAGGAGACGGCCATTAATAAAGATTACGGAAGAAATATAGAATCGTAACTGAGCAACGCCCAATATTGAGCAATGAAATAAGTATCGCCAAAATAATGATAATTCAAAAATAAGTCAATGCACACTATCTTGTAGTGAGAGTATAATACAGTAGTTTATAAATATATATACATATTTTTTGCGGCTGTGTTTAAATAGCATTGGTTTTATTTTGTTTTATTTTGGTTTTGAATCTGTATATATCTCTTTTTTTCATTTGTATCTGTTTCATATAACTTCAAAAAAATTTTATGATTTACAATTTTTTTTTAAAGCGTGTTTTAAGATTATTGTCATCTCCTAGACTACCCTAGAAGCAAACAATATTGGCGCAATATTGGCGCAATATTGGCGCAATATTGTTACAATATTGGCGCAATATTATAAACTATATCAAGCCAATATTGCAATGTGAACATTTTGCCAATATTGGCGCTACAATATTGTGCCAATATTGTTAAGTCAATATTGGCCAATATTCGCGGTACAATATTGCGCCAATATTGTAAAGTCAATATTGGCCAATATTGGCAAAATGTTTACATTGTAATATTGGCGCGATATTGTTTAAAATATTGCGCCAATATTGTAAATAATATCGCGCCAATAATGGGGATATAATACTGGCCAATATTGGCGTAATATAGTTTACAATATTATCCAAATATGTCTATATTAAGCAAGTGTATTGAGTAATTTCGATTAAATTTTTATTATTAAAAAATAATAAATAATATTGTCTACTAAAAATTTTTGATAATTAAAATTTATAACAGTTTTCTTGTTTAAATGATGCTATAGTGCTAGGCTGCATTATTTTTTTGAGTTAAACAGGTTATAGTCTAGGAGATGACAATGATCATAGAACACGCTTTAAGAAAAAAATAATTGTAAACCATTAAATTTATTTGAAGTTATATGAAACAGATAAAAATGAAAAAAAGATGTATAGAGTGCTCCAAAACCAAAGTATAACAAAAAAAAAACAATGCTTTTTATATACAGGTACAATATATATATATATATATATATATATATATATATATATATATATATATATATATATATATATATATATATATATATATATATATATATATATATATATATATATATATATATATAAATATATATATATAAACTGCTGTATTAAACTCTCACTACCAGAGAATGGGTATTGACTTTCATTATTTTGGCAATACTTATTTCATTGCTCAATATTGGGCGTTGCTCAGTTACGGTTCTATATTTCTTTCGTAATATCTATTAATGGCCGCCGCAGAAAGCTGCTAATTTTTTCTTTAATACTTTTGTCAGTAGCGATTTCGAAATGAACGAATAAAACGGTAAACGATTAAAAAATTGACGAACTACTTAACACAGCTCTAAAATTTTTTTTTTTAAATATTATCACAATATAATTTTGAAATATATATTTTTTCACGTATAAATATTGTAAAATAATTAACTTTTAGTAAATATTTGTTTATTAAAAGAAAAGGGGTTGTAGAATACTAATATAGTGCTTTACCTATAACGACCGCGCAGGACGTATTTGTTTCCTTCCATACATTGAACATAAAAAACATACTTCTTTGGCCATTAGCTTTATTAAGGTTGCCGCTGTAAGTTGTTTGTAGTCATCTCCTCTAGCCGAAGCAAGAAAGTTCATCTAAAATAAAAAAAGCAAATGTAATACAGTTGGCTGTATCAGTGTTTAATGTTTTAATGGTTCCTCTTATATGTATGTTTTAGACGGGTTTTTATGTGATAAAATATGACATTATGAAAGAGTAAAAGCAATTGATTATAAATAGATGCAATTTCAGAAGTCAACCTATTTTGCAGATCAGGACTAATTTTTTTAATAAAACTTTTATAATGCAACACTAGAAAGAATACATTGTGGTGCTGTGGTGAATACACCTTTCAGATGTCATAGATGTCTGAGATTAGTACTCATAGCTACACAAAATACATTGCTAACTGGGCATAAAAGATAAAAATCATAATGAAATGTAATAGGCAATTATATAAAACATTCTTATATACAACTTAATTATAATCAATCATGTATCATATTGTATTATTTGTTCTTATGTTTCATATGAATGTATCATATATTTTAAAAATTAAAAACTTTAATAGTACATGGAACTTTTTCCAAAAATTATTAACTAATATTAATTCACTGATACATACTATCAATTCATAAGGTGTCTTTGTTCCATAATTTTTTTTCGAGGTTTAGAAGATCTTTTTTCCTCTTTAACTTGCAAATAAATTCAATAAATCAAGAGATCATCAAGTAAAGCTCTGATGGAAACACTTAACCCTAAAACACTAAAGATTTTTTAAATCTTTGAGAAACTGACAAACAACCTCATAAGTATCACCTTTTTTTGCAACTTGCAACCTTTTAAACTGGAGACATAGATAATTCTTCTTTATCACTATCAACAGCTGTTTTAACACTTGATGTAAACCTAACATTTCTATCCATTTTAAAGCAGTCTCATAACTGTCAAAAAAAATGTAAAGAAAAGATTAAACCATACTAAACAATGAATATTTGCTATATTTGAGTCAAACATAGCTGTTCAGATTAAAAACAAAAACAATATTGTAAATAAAACAAAAATAATATTGTAAATAAAACAATTACCAAAATAAAATAAAAATTCTTATTTTCAGCTGCTTACAGTTATTTGTAGATGCGTGGCCTCACATATGGCAGCCTTAAGACAAGATGCTTGCAAGTGATTTAGCCAATACACTAAACTTTCATTAATCGCCATGAAAAACAGATTACACTCATTACACACTTATTGTTGTCTTTTCATTGAAAAATTTAGACAGAGTATATTTTCTAAACTATATTGCTATTTTCAGTTTAACGGTACAACAACTAAAAAAATCAAAATAAATAAATTTATGATGTAAAAAAGCTTAGATTAACTTTTTTTTTTAGATTATTAATATAAAAATATTAGTCTGAAATTTATTGAGTTTCACATCTTAGTATAAAATGTAATCTCTTTTTATTTCAAGTAGATTTTAATTATTAATTAGTAAAAGAAAGTGAATTTTAAAGATTGCGTAGTTTGGAAAGGTTTCCATAATAACATTTTCTTATTTAAATGTGACATTGAGAGAAAGTTAGGAATATTTGTTAAAGTTTATTTTTATCAGTGTTTTCATCCTTCATTAAAAGCTGCTTTTACTGCGGCTAAAGAGCCGTAGTAAATGCACCCTGAAGACAACCAACTTGAGGCTCTAAGTAAATATTTATGCCGAGATTACGAGATTCAAATGAGCATGATATTAAGATCTTAAGCCCAATTGAAATTAGCCAGGCATAAAATAAGTATATTTTTTCAGCTATGGAACACTATAATAAAGTGTTTTTAATATACAACACTAAAAAAATAAACATAAAAATTATTCGGTGTTTAATAAATTTCAAATTTAATTTCATATTAATTTTATTTCTACAATAAATAAAATTATACTGTATAATAAAAAAATAAGTTTGTTTTCTGGCATGCTGCAGTAAACACAGTGAAATTATAACTTTACTATTTAAGATTTAAAAAAATAATAAACAGCATTCGTTATTTAAGTTAAATTAGGGTTGGTTTCATTAAATTATGATATGTCAACAAACTTGAAGAAATATAAAGTATTTTTAGGCAAATAACTATTATAAGAGTTTTGATATAACATATTGTTATTATTATTATTGTGTTATTATTATTATTTTCTAGGGTTATAATTTTACAAATAGAATAATTAGGAATCTAAATATAAATAGCTCAATGAATATTATTATCGTCATCATTGTTATTATTAGTGTCGTTTCACTTTCGTTTTTAAGGTAGTTTCTAGGCTTTTCTATACGCGGTTATATATTCCATGCGGTCTTTCAAACAAGGTCTTTAAGCAAATTAGAGTTGATATTTATTTTTACTTTAAAAAGAATTGATGTTTTACTTAAAGAATTTTAATTTAAGATGAATTGTTTAAAAACTAAATAAAAATTTAAACAATCGTTTGTTTGTTGTTGGTTGTTCTTATTTTTCTAATTTTTATTGCCTTTTTTCATCTTCAGAAGAAATTAGATCTAAAATGACTGGTAAAATAGTTTTTTTAGTACATACTTTCTTTTTAAAAAAACTGCTTCAGGTTTGTCGTTAGTCTTTTTAGAACATTTTAAGCAAGTACTCTTTTATTTTTTGGAGCAGTAATGAGAAGTTGATGTCTTTTTTAGTAAGTTCAATTCATTTTCTTATTTATAGATTAAGATTATTTTTTGTAAAAAGAATAATGAGAATAAAATGTTATTTATGTATTTAATATGAAAAGTTAAATTAAATAAGACTGTTTTTTGTGTTCATGTAAATTTATATACATAAGTTTGCGTTTATTTCAATCTATTTTATATTTCTCTATATCTATATGTATATTTCCTCTTAGAAATAATAATTAGGAATAGGAAAATTAAAAAAAGTTCTTCTCGAATTTGTCAAAGGAACGTGTTAGGCTTCATTTTAAGGTATCTGAATATTAATTTATTAAAAATTTTGAATTTTGTTCTTAAATGGTTTCATCTTTTAGATAAATGTATACTGGCTGACATAATTTCAATTTTATTAATAGTGTTGTGTATTTTTGTAGTCTGCATTCTTTGTTACATTAAAAATAATTGATGCTAAAAAATGTTTTTTTATAGTTGTTAAAAGTTTGCATAAATGTTTATATTATGCTCAAAGTTAAAAGTGTTTTTGGTAAATATGTGTATGTATATATGTTATGTAGTTGTTTTATAAATGTGTTTTTATAATAGTATGAAATGTACTTTATCCAATGTGTATATGATTGTTAAATGAGGCATTTTTATATATTATATAACATTTAAAAAATATATTTTGTTTTATAGTTAGTATATATGTTTATATAATGTTGTTTCCATGATTTCAAAGTGGTGTGACTTGGCAAACGTGTAGAGCAATATTTGTCAACCTTACCAGTCAAGCGGTGTTACTGCTTTAGGTCTAAGTGTTGTCTAGCCTTTAATATAACTATACTGAAAATACATAACATTTTCTTTGATAACTTTTTGCATAATGTTGTTACCTTTGGCTTATTTTTATGTTGGTGTCAATTGTTAAAAATGGTTAATAGGTAGTTTCATTACTACAACTTATTGCTTTTATTTATTTAATAAAAGTCATTCAAGACATCATTTTGCTATAAATACATTTTGTTTATCATGAAATAACAATATTTAACAACTACTACTTAGGTTTCACAACAGCTTATCTCTATCAGGTACATTGATTTTCAACTCACAAATGATGTTGTTCTTTGTATTTACTTGTTCGTTACATTTTTTAATTTCAGATTTATCATATTGTGTATTTATTTGTTATAGAAGAACAAATCATTTTAAATTTATATGAATTTTTCAAAATAACTACTGATAATTAGTCCAGTCGACATTTAAAGTTAAATGTTGCATATACCATTTTTAAGTAGTTTCTAGGCTTTTTTAAATGCTTTTCTTATTCAAGTGAGTTTACAAGCAAGTTCTGCAAGCAAATTTGAACTGAAAAGTTTTTTAGCTTTCAAGAAGAATTAATGTTGTTCTCTGTTTAATTTAGTTTGTTTAAATAGAGTAGTTTTAATAAATAAATGTTTGTTTGTTCTTGGTTTTTTACTTATTTGTTTTCGGATTTGTAAGAACTAGGCAAATTAGCGAAGCAAGATTTTTTTTTTTAGTGCAATTAAAAAGAGCTGAAGTGCTTTTTAGCCTCTTCATATCAATCGTTAGTTTGTTTTTTAAATAGAAGGAATAATAATAATAAAACTTTTTAGACAGTCGAACTATTACTGATTTGAGTAAGTTTATTATTTTGTTTTATTTTATATTGGATATATTTTATATTTGATATGTATTTTATGTATTTAACTTGGAAAACTGACTGTAATTTGTTGGCAGGTAAGTTTATATACATAAATTTGCCTATATTTCAGTACATTTTATATTTCTCTGTATCTGTATAGTTATTATCTCAAAGAAAAAATAAAAAGAATAGATAAAATTTGAATATAAATACATACATATATTTCTTTAGACTGACATTGCTTCTTTTTTTATACAAGGTTCTGCATTTATTGTTTTTGTGCATAAAGATTGTGCTTGAAGGTAAAAATAACTTTGTGCATTCTAATCTAAATTTTTTGTTAAATTAAAAATAATGTAAATAAATCTTGTTTTATATTTTTAATGAACGACTTCTTTATATAAATTTATAAAAATATATATGAATATCAATAAATCTTAATTTAAAGTATAGTCTTTGATTAGAAAAGATCACCATTCGTAAATTTATTTTGCGCTCATTAATTCATTTGTAACAGTAGTATAATCACTGGTAATATGTTTAATGATAACAGATGTATAATATTAGGCTCGAAGAAGTTTTTAGTGTGAATGATAATAAGCGACTGAAAATGAAAGAGATAGATCTAGGCCTGATAAATTTAGCTGTCGTTGAAATGTAAGAAATTTAGAAAACTTACTTCCTAGAGTTCAGTGTCAAACGGTGTTGATGTCTATTAATTTGATTTTATATTAGACACTTTAGAATAAAGCAAAAGTATGAATTTTACTAATTTACAATTAATAACTGTTTCCAATTTAAATAGTTTTAACTTTATAATTTAATATGATGTGAAATTTACTATATTAATCACTAGTCAACATTAAGAAAGAAGCTGAGTTTTAATTAAGCAATGCTGGAAATTAACTTTTAATTTAGATAAAAACAATTTTGTTTATTGGTAGCATAATAAAACAAGTAACTGTTATTTATTGCATATCTTTTTTACTTTTTTTAACATGCTGCTTTTGAAACACTTCCTCTCTCTCTCTCTCTCTCTCTCTCTCTCTCTCTCTCTCTCTCTCTCTCTCTCTCTCTCTCTCTCTCTCTCTCTCTCTTAGATGAGACTTAAATGAGAGTTAGTACAGGGAGAATTAATAAAACTCATATAATTACTGAGCTCTTGCGTATTTTGTTCAAATATTGTAATAAATAAAATCTTTTTAGTTTCAAATATTTAACTTTATCGTCCATATATTACGTAACGCGAAATTAAACTTATAGACAAAAGACATGTCTCAAAAACTGTATTTCTTTTATGGTCAACTATATGTTACATGTTCAAGAACTAGATCATTTAATAGTTTGTTTTTCAAAATTGATAAACATCCAATTCAAGGTATGGTAGGTAAAAAGTGTTACACAAATAATGTTATATTTTCTAATGTTCTTAATTTATAGACTTAAGATTTTCATTTAGAAAGTTTACTATTGTGGTTGTGAGCACATTTTGTTTATAAGTTTATTTATTACTATGATTATTTTTTTCATAGTTTTTGATAAATATATCTGTCATTTAATATTGTTATAAAATGTGTTTATATTTGTTATACAAAGTCATTTTTGTTTATAGATGCATAAATGGTTGTTTCCATGTTTTTTAAAGTGGTGTGACTTAGTATTATGTTAAGCAAGTTTGATAACCTTGCCAGCCACGCGGTGTACTTATAGCAGTAGTCTAAAAGTGCTATTTTTATCTTAGTTTTATTTTTTTTTAGTATTGTTAATCTTTTTTTACTTCAAAACAGATTTTATAGTTACATTTTCGATAAATGTTTATATTAACTGCAATTTCAAAATAAGTAACTATAAATAGGTAAATCAATTTTCAATTTTTATGTGGTGTTTTTTTTTTTTTTTTTAATTATGATATCATAATTCCATTACTTTTATTTTAGATTTATGTTATGACGCATTTATAAGATTTTTTTAAAAAAACCTGATTTCCTTTTATTGTTAATTT